AGCCAGGAAAAGTTGTCCTAGTTCAGGTACCTGGTGAGTGAAAAGAAGCACTTAACCATTCTTTCAGAAGTGACCTAGGCGTCTCAACGTTTTGATAGGTAAGCGTAAGAGGTATATAGATAAAGTTAGCTCCCAGGTTCTTCGGTCACTAGTGGGCTGCTGTCAAATGTGCGGGCGTTTGCGCGGTGGAAACCGTTAGGAAATTGAAGGTTGAGGTTGTTATGCCACTGGACCCTTTCACAGAAAATTGTTATAAGGCAGACAAATTAAGCCGCGGGGACTTCTCGTTAGTCTAGTACCCTTACACGTTTTCTCGTCCATGCTACGTCCGTTTCTTTTACGCGCGCCATTGCATAGTTGTCGCATTGGTCATGCGCCACCAGTCAATAGAATGTCGGAGGAAAGTATAGAGGGTATGATGGTCTAGCAGGACGCAGTGTGGTAACAACCGCAAATGCTTGAGTGCAATTCCTCCCCGGACTATGTATGGTGGTTTGACGCAAGTAAGATTATCGAGGCATTAGACCTGTATATGCGGGGTATGATGAAGTGGCGACACCGTAAGACGATGGGCAGAGCATGCCTCACCTTATCTACTTACTCCTTTTGTCTTAGCGATAATTATAATTACCAGTTTGTTTGAATTGTAATAACCGCACGTGCTAATCCTTCCGGTAGCTGCAAGGGTAGATACAATAGACTTCAAAAAATCAATTATGTAGGGACCAGTACTATGAAACTTTGCACTACAGTATGTGTTTAACATTGTTGCTCATGTTGTGGTTGGAAGGAAATTAGTCTCAGAGAAAGGTGGATGCTTGCTCTATGTATTGAAAGTTCGTTGATTTTGTTGCGTCTTGCCAGTCCTAATAAGGGTTATCCATTTGTTAGTGGGAATGAGTTGATTCCGTATACTAATGATAAAATTCACAATTCGCACTATATGGACACATATATTGGGAACATGGAGTGCCGCCATGCCTCAATCGCACTATTAGCAGTTAAGAGTTTACTCAACATAACGATAGGTTAGAGCGTAATATTAAGAAAGCTGAACAATTTATTCTCGTAACATAACGTAATTTAGTAGACAGTCATTAACGTTTTTAGCTTTAGTATTTCGTTTACAAGTGTTGTAGGTGCATACTTAAATCTGTACTTTGTAGGTAGCAGTGGTGTCCAGCAAACATTTGTAGTTTTAGTTACGAGGATGTAGGGTATAAAGTCAAACCATAGAAGGCGCTTTATTTTAATGACAGATTTTGATTGGTTTTCTTGTCCTGGACGGACTCCCCCAAACGATAATAGGTGGTGTTTATTTGTGGATGGATAATTATTTTAATCCGTGGAAATAGTTCAGCTTCTGTAGGGGACAGTACTTTTGGCTGCAGTACTCTCCACCCCAAATGGAAACACCTGCCTAAACACCAAGGGGCCAAGCAGTGGAAGAGAGCTAAATTAGCTTACCGTTTTACAGACCAAGGACTTGTTCTTCAAGTGAAAGGACAAGCTGTGTGTTCCGCTGTTGTCCATTTAACTTGAAGTACATAAATTACTGTAAGGTGTAAAGAGCGGCTTGGAACCATGGCCGACATATTGGCGCCTAATAAAGTAGAAGCATACACGCCAGCCAAAAACATTTGCCAAATATGAGCAAAATAAATATACGGTGACTCGTATAAGTTTTGCAATGGCGGTAATGACAATTGTCAGTGATTATGTGAGGTACAAGGACAGGCATAATGACTTACACTTTTAGAGTTTTGAGGCAATTCGGCAATGGAGCTTTAGCTACTACATAAATAATTACGTAACTGATATATTTCTCGAAAGGTCACGATACCAAGCTGAAGACCTTAGATCATATATGTGCAAAAGTACACGTACGAAGTTTATAAAACAAGTGCTGTAAAGCAGACAAGACTTAAAAAAGCAACTAGTGTCTCACACGGTACACAGTGGATATAGACATTTATTGTTCGTTGGCCGTGCAGGTCAAGTAAACACTACAGGATAAGAATTCAAGAAAAATATTATATGAACTCAAGGTGTCCTCGAACACGGGGTTGTTTGCAATGCCAGCCTCAAGATCGCAAGAAGCATTTCTTTCTTATGTGAAACGTTTGATAGGAATTCGATATATTGTTCCGAGAATGGACTGTCACATTCAAAGGCAAATTGAAGTTTTCCTCATCATTTGCTTTAATCCATCGGCAGACCAGTAAAAGGTGGTCGGCACTTCAACCAATACACGGTTCACACCAAAAGAACCAAAGAGATAAAGGATAAGCTAGTACGAGTTTCCTTAAGACATAAGTACATGGAACCCTGGCGTTTACGGGCCTGCATTTGCTGCAGAAAAAGGATTTAAAAGTGTTCCATCTAAAACGTTCTATCCAGCTCACGTACAAAATGTTCATCTAGTTAGTTTTTGCTGTGGGCTTGCCAAACTATCACCATTGGTGCCATCTTGGTGGTACTGGTTTAACCCATTCCAACAAATAGTTCTGCAGCCGTTTTCCAGGAAGTGGTGGATTATCGCCTTGCAAGCGTTCCCCCGTATGAAGCCACAGATGTCTGCTTATCAGCACTGTGACGTGGCGAATGTGACTCGACATTAACCAAAGTCAATGCCCAAGCTTTTGTCGGAAACCTTAGCAAATACAGGCGTGAAACATTTCTTCAGACACTGGCGACGCCATTGAATACATTCAAAACCACAGTAATGCATTAAAAAAACAAAGCTACCTATATACCTACATTTATGGGTAGACATATAAGGAAATCCTATTATACCGTCGCACAGTCTTGCTAAGTTGCCCTACCATTACTGCTGGTACTTTTACTAGTGTGCCTCAAGCAACCAAAAATAAATATTTTTATTAAATGAAATTGTTCTCAAGAATAGCAACAATTATTGTATGCTTATAGTGACGGTTGATGACTAATGTTTCTGTTGGTACTTGCAATTAATAACTTAAAACTATACATGAAAATTTATAGAAAACCTAACATCCTTATTCTCTCAATGACTAACCAAAATGTACATTATGACCAAACATAACGAAAAGATTATAAGTAAATAACTAAACGTTTTATTACCACAATGCGAAATACGCCTGAAAAGGAGCGCTTAGTCCGTAATTATCAAAGCGTTACTATGTAACCAGTAAATACTGGTGATGTTTTATCTATGTATGTAAGTGCATGGTTTAGTAATCATGCTGAGTGAAGTTGTTACTGTTGTGATGAATTTATGGGTGTGTTCGTGGAAATCGCCAACCAAGGATGGGGTCAAATAATAGGTTCGAATTGGCTGACGTTCGTGGGTGGGCATGAGCCTACCGGAAGTCCGGAAGCAGTGACGTTATATAGTAGAGATTCAAATACCCCATGACAGTGTGTTAAACAGACTTTTGTGACTTTTTGTAGGCGAAAGCTTGCCAGGCGATATGCCCCCACGTCCTGGATCCCTGCCGCCGAACCAATCGCTGGAACAAAGTTAACCCCGACCACACAGCTAACACCACGTGCAGGTTGCTCGTAAATAATTCGCGATTAAAGATGTTAAAATATCTTGCCTGCAAAACCAGCTGAGCTTTTTCACTTTCCAACACAGCATGTAGCCATGCCCTTGCTCTAAAGGTTAACAGGTGTTTGTCCGAGCAAGCATTTGCTTGCGAGCGGCGCATGGTGCGCGCGGGAAAACGGGTGTAAAACGTATTGCCCATGGAGTAGGTACGTCACAATGCAGTATGGCCAGTCGTCTCATCATCATCATCATACACGTTAGCTAGAGGTGGGGAACACGTCAGCATCCGTGCCGCAATACACAGAAAAAGGAAAAAATGCAACTAGTGCAAGCCGGCTGAGCTAGCGGTAACGGATGGGCATCGTTCCGGTAAGCTACCAGCCGGCTGCTGCGCATCCAAAAAAATTATTATGCAAAATTATATAAGGCTAACTAATGAGATTGTGGTTGGAGGGGGAGGCTAAGAGGGTTGGGGTGGGACAAAGAAACTCACAGCACGAACGCCACTGAGGTCGGCTCCTAGCCATATCAACAAGTGTGTCCAACCAAACGTGTTCATCGTCTTTCGGACCCCTACGAGGGTCCAGTAGGGCTAACTCGTATGTAAACTGGTGCACGCAGGTGACGTCACTGATGCTACCACCATAACACACGTAGCTTCATCACCAAAAGGGATAGCAATTGGATAGGTACCAATTTGCATACTAGAATTTTAATGCGGTTAATAATGCAATATTCTTATTGCAAAGTACACGGATAGCCCCGCTTGTATATTTAGGCTAATGTGACATATACATAGGATAAGTTAATCGAGCAAAAACAAGTGCGTGCTTTACGCACATATGAGGGGCAAACGTAAAGCGCTAATGACCTCGTACCGTAATAAATTAGTGCTTAGAAAGCCCGTAATTGGTGTGAGTGTGCACCACAATTACGCATGCACCGCTGCAACGATGAACTATTGATTTACTATCCTGCGCATATCTAGGAAGGCCAGCCGTCGTACATGGGCGATTTTTCCGGTGTTGCTTAGGCCAAACGTGACGGTGTCAATGAATGACCTAAGAAGACCAAATATGTTGTTAAACATATTTAAACCACCGTCCATTGCTCATAAACTACTACATTTTAGTACTACCCTAATATCACTAGGAGCGCAGCAACCTTGGAGCAACCCAAGCGCTTGAGTTACATAACTCCAGCAGTCCTAGTAGACACACCAAGGACCAAGTTCGGTCACACATGCTTATCGGCTAGTTAGTTGTTTGGCTATAGGTTTAAGTAGTTACAAGTTCTTGGAATCGGTTTCCGCCTACAGCTGCCAGTGTTTCCAACTAGGAAACAGCACTCACTGTACACGTTAAGGATGCTCGGAATAAATTCCTGAGTGACCGAAGTTTGTTTCAATTGCTTCCAGCTGAAACTGCCGAGACCTACCAAAGCGTCAGTACAATGTCACACTCCGAGAATGTTCTCCAGCCGTCTCACGCAGTTTGGAATTATGCGCGCAATTCCTGTTGCACGCTGGCGTGCATACACTCATTTAAAGCAGCTTGACAAGTGCTTTCTAGTGTACACCATTTCGTGTATCCACCCTTTATGGCTGGGGTTTCACGACAAGTGTCCCTTGAACCACCCTCGCATTCTCCACGCTGTTGTTTAGTTCAACGCGGAAAAGAGAAAGCAAGTTGGATCCAAATCCGACTATAAGAGTACGTGCGCGCCTCTGCGTATACGACCAGCCTATACAACACTCGTTGCTTTAGTAATCGCCTTTATCTTTTACTTACCTCAACACGGTAAGCGATCAAAGGCTAACACCACCTCACTTGATGCCACTGAAATAAGAGTAGCTAATAAGCGTCGCCCCAAAGTGTTGAAAGTGGTGCTTCACTGCAAACGCGTGGCAGATGAAACACTCCAACTGTGACGCAAGCAGTTTTGAAAGCTCCAATGGGCGATTTTCTTAAAGGCCTTTGACACCGAAACCCAGTAGACGGAGGCAGGGCACAAGCAATAAAGTTTCTCAACCACCGAAGCAAAGCTAACTTTTGAGTAGTATACGTGCGACGCACGAAAGCTTTTCAGAGGAATATGGACATGCTCCATGACCAAGTTAAACGGTACTTCTTCAAGTAAGCTTCCTGGCAGCGGACCTAAAGTGGCTAAACCTCAAGTAGGTCATTTTGTATTCGCGCTTAACACCTACATCTCTCAATACCGGACTGACATTTGAAACCCTATTTTGTTCTACCCAAGGCACAAGGCTTGCTCTTCAAGTTTTCTTCGCTTCATTTTCACAAATCGTTCACGTTATGGAGCAGAATCACGCTGCGAACTAAATTACAGCGACTACGCGAAGAGACGTTCCGGAAAAATCCTTGGTATGTTTTTGGCATTCAAACGCAGCTTCGGCACTTAGTCCTAAGTGACTGCCAGTGATTTCTTTGGCACCAAAATATGAGCAATGCTCGACAACGGCTTTCTGCATGGCGTCCTATCACTCCAAGGCGTGGTAGAAAGGACTGAGTGGGCACGGCATACTGCCACCGAAATGGTTCCAAATTTATGAGGTGTGCCGGGTACGTTCAGTGTAAAAGACTGGTTATACATCCTACAGTATCGCGGACTGCTGGTTGAGCTAACCATGGCATTTCGGACCACACCTCACAGTGCTTGCCTCATTACGAGATTGCTGCGGCACATGAGCACGCAAAGCCTTACACGAGAACAACAACGCAAGTTTGTGGTGCTAGATTTGAAGCGGGCCATTTACCAAATTGTTTAGGACAGAAAGTAGTAAATGTGTGGAACAATCTGCCGCTACACCTAGTTCAGACAAAGTCGGCGTCAGAACACAGGTTATTCCTGGACAAACACCCTTCCCAACTAAAATATCTAGAGCGCCCTCTTACCTAATGGTTAGTTGGGTCTGCGTGACATAACTTTCACTAAAGAGACATAACGCTTTTGCTTCTTCACACCAGTAATCAATAATTAAGACCTGGCCCAACCGCTAAACCACGGACGCAGCGAGCGTATTAACATGCCCGTTTGTCCTAAGAAACATACAGCCAGGTAGGATGTGGCGTCTTTTTGTATCAACGCAGTGATCTCCATTTCAAACTGGTCAATAACCAGAGGCTCATGTTGTTGTTGGGCTATGAGGTTGCTTTCATTTGGCGTAACTACACACGTTTGGTGACCAGTTTACACCATCCCATGAGGTTTGTTGTACGAATGGAGAAATGTGTAGCTAATACTCGGCAAGCCGTCCAAGCGCAACCCAACGGTCACCCTCTCATTTTGTGGACTTCAACTTGCTTGGCGTAGAGATTCCAGCCACAAACAGTGAGGAATTTAAGGCCGATAGGCAACAGCTAGTCACTGGCATATCACATTATGATCACAGCAGCATCCCTACAAAATTAAGAGCAGGAAACAAAGCAGGCATCCTTGCCCTTGTGTTCAACAGGGAGGACGTATGATTGCCACAGTAACAGTGGACAGACCGTTGGGACGCAGTGATCATACGACGCTGCTTTTCAAATACTTCGGCAGTACCGTTACCTAGGTTCGCGGCTGCTGCTTTCTCTGCGGAAAGCTTTCCAGGTAGCAATTGCTGCTCCTGGATGTTCAATAACCGTCATCTTTACTCTTCGGCCACTGAACAATTCGGGTTTGCGTAACAAAAACAAAACAAGGCACACAGGAAGGAACTTACTTACTTGGTGGGCTGACCAAATGCAGTGTAGGACATATACAGACTAAATATTTGGCTGCAGCAATTTCTACCCGATAAAGTTGCCTCACAGAACTCGCACACCAGATGCAGAAGATGTTATTTGCTCTCGGATAACGCTGTCCGTGCAGTGGCAGTGTGATAGTTCGCGGACAATTATACCGTAACAATGCACCGACCCGTACGTTGTCGGTCGGCGCTCATATGCACGGACGATTGCGTGTGGCTTAAATAAGCCTTACGCAGTGTTTCCTCATTTCCTTGTAAAACCAGCATTGTGCAGACAAAAAGATGCCCCGATGGGGGCCATTTGCACTCCAATCCTTGTAAGTTAAGGACGGAATGCTGCAAGCGTACGAGGTACAAGACAGTTAGGAACGCGCCGCCAAATTGCATAATGAAGGTTGCAGCACCTGCCGCATTCGGATAGCATTGTTAGGGTTCTCAGCACCGAGAGGACCACACGTGGGTGCTCGTTGCAATGCAGTGTGAGAAAGTCACGTAGACTCTGCCGCAGTAGATGTCCTCAGATCCAACCATAACCCCAGCAACACGTCTTTTGCGCATGAATGGGGAGTAGGAGGTTACGGTCAGTACCAGTATTGTTGCCAGCTACAAAGTTGGTCGTCTGATAACACAGCAGAACTTGCAAGTGCTTTCCGAGTACAATAACACACTGGAGAATTAAAGGTAACGGAAATTTCCGTCATCCAGTTGCCGAATTTTTAGACAGAAAAACGGGAACCCTTGTTGCTTGACTAGACTAATTTCCAGCTCTTTTGCGCACAATTTCGGGCCGTTCACCACGCGGGGGCCGCTCACAGTGTACTTTGAGAAACAATTGTGGCCAAGTTGCGCACGTTGTAACAGCCATGGCTACCTTTATGTCTCCGTTCTCGAGCTTTTAAATGCCAACGGACCTCAGTGCCATGGCGAAAACATGGCTGTCCTGCGACATCACCGAAAATGAACTACGGGAGCCTCACCTATTAGTTCTCTGCTGCCATTGCTCAACCCTAGTTTGCAGGGTCGCTTTTTGCTGCGACACCTCCCTCAATTTCACTGTCACAGCAGACTCTGCCTTGTAATCTCCTAACACCAGGTGGTGCGAAGTACTACTGGCCAAAACGCTGGCGATGTTTTAGTATTATTTTCTGCCCCATAGTAATTCCTCAGTGATTGGCGAATAACTGTTACACACCGTCCACCTTAAGCTATCCCACAAAAACCCACATTATTATCTTTAAGGGAAATTAACCTATTCCATTCATTTAGATACTTTCCAACGACTGTCTTTTGCGTCATGCCTCATCAATCTTTACACGGCCTTGTTGTACAGTCCTTCACCAGCCGAGTGGATTTTGAAACAGCAAGCAACCATCCCTGCCTGATTACATCCTCACCAAGGAAGAGCTGTTGGTTGAGCACGTCGAGTAGGCTACCCGAATCAGACTCAGCTCTAACTATATCTTCCATTTTAACTATGTATGCTTCGCCCACAAAAGTGTTGACAATAAAATATACCCAAAACGTAAACTTATTAAGAGATGTTCCACATACATTTTCGCTAAAAGCCGGTACCCTAGGACTCACTTGAGCACGGACAGCGCATTGTTATCATTTTACTTTACGCTGCGTGTATTGTGCTCCACAAAAATGAGTTGCAGACAGGTTCCCATAGAGAACGAACAGTTTGCACCTGTTTAAAATGTACCAGGATGTTGATTGCTCACATGGACAAGGCATGAAATACGTACGGTGCACGTCCAACAGCTACTCACTATGCATGCTACCGACTAATTTGCCACTATTGCACCCAGTTACTAAGGTACGATAAGAATGAGCAGCCACGTCAACTTGTACATAAATGCTCATCCAGTCTCATATTTCTGCGCAGTCACGCCAACCGCCTTCCCCATGTCAAACATATATCACCGCCCTGCTGGCACCACCTGGTTCACGAAATCAGTAAACCCAGCTGCAGCAGTAATGTATCAACCGTACGCATCTGCATTCTCTGCTCCATTTGTCCCTACATCAACTTCGTTTTCTCCAATCTCATGCTGGAAGCTTTTGGCAACCGTTTTGTTTACTCCAAGAATGGTATTTGAAAAACGTAAACGCTGCAGTCAACAGTCTGTCCAGCGGCAGACGGTTTCCCACAAGGCTCCTACAAACGTGTATTGCAAACTTAGCTCTACCTAAAGGAAAACTGTTTACCAACTTCTTATCTCATAATAACGATCCAAAGGATTGACAATGCGATACTATTACGCCAAGCTACAAAGCGGCGCGCGCACAGGTCACGTCAAATACCAACTTTTAGCCCTCAACTCTACGATCTGCAAAGTGTAGTAATCAATGACCATAGATTTTTTAACATAACACCATGAGGTTCAGGAATTGTTTTCTGGTTGCTAGTGCGGCTTCCAAGAGCTACAGTTACGTCTGAGAAATTTACTCTTCGCCTGGGATAGCTAGAGGTCTGCTGCTGGCACCTGCCTAGGAACCTGCATTATCTTCTTGAACTTCAGCAATGCCCTCGAAAAAATCGACCATGCCATCATAAAGCACAAGCCACTATCATACAGTCTATAAGGAAGCTTGTAGACTGGCTCCAAAACTACTTCCACCACCCTACCGTCTAACTGGGTGTTGCTGGAACGCCATCCTGCTTTGTCCTTGCAACAGGCGGGGTTCCACAAGGTTCTGTTCTCGGACCGGGCTTCTTCCTATCCTTTATTGATGATGGCAACAAACAAGTCGGGTCCTCGCTGTTGCTATATGCTAAGGACGCTCAATCCATGCTCCGCACCATATACTTGCACTTCAAAAGCGCCTCAACCGTTTGCACCAGCGGTCCCTGAAAACAACCTACCTTTAAACATTTCGAACTGTTGCATCTACTTCCGTAACTTTTAGCTTTTCCAGTATGCATCCTGGGGGAGCCTTTTCCCAGGGTCACACAGGTCAAAAATTATTTCGTTATCATCACTTAACCAGTCTTTCTGTATTTGCTTTCTGCAGAAAAGAATCTTGTACTGCCGCCCGTTTGTCAAATTCGCTAAATCTTGACCTACGAAACCAAGCCAGGAAGTTTTTGCCTTTCCCAAAACGCCCTTCTTCTACAGCACTTAGGGCAGCTGTTCAGGTTCGCAGCTGTGTTTGCTTAATGACCAGTGCATGCTTTGGTTCCTACCACGTCCGGCGACAAAACTAGCACGAGGTCACAGCATAATAAATTATTTACAACGGCTTTTATCGCCTTGAATTCCCTCGCTGAAACATCGCCGTCTCCGTAGTAACTACACCCTTGTCTTGATAAGCACATCTAACCCAGGACAACAATGCTACGATAAACTCAAAATGCAGCCCTAATTCTCCCATTTCCTTGATCACCCACTCCGTCTTACACGTTAACACAGCTGGCAGAATTATAGGCGACGCTTGAACCCATTTCGTGTTTGTTGACGGTGGAACTTACTACCCGCTTAGTGGAGTTGTTGTGGAGTTCTCCGAGCTGAGCAACATGGTTGCAAACGTTTCGC